TTGGATGAGATCAATCCACATTAGGAAAAGCAGTCTGCTTTACTCAGTCTACCAATTCAAATGTTAATTTTATCCAAAAATACTTTCACAGACACACTGAGAAATGATCTTTAACCAAATATCTGGGCATCCTGTGGCCCAGTCAAGTGGAACATAAAATTAACCATTACAAATGCTCTTCTTAAATTGTTTAAAGGGTCCTTTCTGCATATTCACAAGCTATTTTAGGAGCATATTTCTCCTTCTGTTATGGTACCCTACCCTTAATTTCTTAGTCCAGTTGTGGGAGATGATCAATGTTAGTGGAGGGCAGAGAATCCTGTGCTGTCAAAAGAGGAAGCAATTCTGATGGCAGAGAAGCACGTTTCTTCCTAAATCATCTATTAATATATTGGTCACCATACCCCTTCATAGCCTTTTTCTCTCTTTATGTTCTCTAGGCTCCAAACTTGGCCTATAATTTTAATTCAGAAGTAATTGAGAATTGTTATATAAGCAAAATATCATAATTATGAAAAACCCCATAAAGCTATAAGTTCGGACAAACCCATATTAGGACCCTAGATTTATTTTTCATAGCCTGGAAACTCTGGGGACATGGCTTGACATCTATGATCTAAAATCTCTCACGTGTATTAATAACATGAGGAGATTAAATACATTCCTCAAGGGCTATTTTGGGAGATGATTTAGATCATAATGTGAAGTATGTGCAGCATCACACAGCTAGTATGCAGTAAAGCTGTAATTTGAAATCAGGGACTGGTTACTTGCTTACTTGTCTAAAACAAGGGCCAGCAAACTTGCTGCCTGCCTTTATAAATAAAGTTTTATTAAAAGAGAGCCATGTCCCTCTTACACAATACATTACTTACACTGACTTTGCAATGGTAGAGTTGAATTGTTGTGACAGAGACAAAAACCTGAAATATTTACTACAAGCATACTTGGTTATATTGTGCTCTGCTTTATGGCACTTTGCAGACATTGCATTGTTTACAAATTGAAAATCTGTGGTAACACTGCACCAAGCAAGTTTATTTATCCAACAGCATATGCTTACTTTGTGTCTATGTGTCACATTTTGGCAATTCTCACAGTATTTCAAATTTGTTCATTATTATTATATCTGTACCGGTGACTTTTGACAAGTAATCTTTGATATAACTGTTGTTTGGGGGATGCCACAAATTGAACCCATATAAGATGGCAAACTTAACATAAATGGTGTGTGTGTTCCAACTCCTCCACTGACCAACCCTTTCCCCATCTTTCTCCCTCTCTTCAGGCCTCCCTTTTCCCTGGGACACAACAATGTTGGAATTAAACCAGTTAATAACCCTACCATGACCTCTAACTGTCCAAGTGAAAGGAAGTGTTACATGTATCTCACTTCACATCAAAAACTAGAAATGATTAAGCTTAGTGAGAAAGGTTTGTCAAAAGCCAAGATAGGCTGGAAGCCAAGCCTCCTGTGTCAAATAATTAGCCAAGTTAAGAATTCGAAAGATAAACTTCTTGAAGGAAATTAAAAAAAAACTACTCCATTGAATACATGAATGATAAAAAAAGCAAAACAGCCTTATTGCTAATATGGGTGGTCTGGATAGGAGATTAAAATAGCCACAACATTCCCTTAAGCCAAAGTCTAATCCAGAGCAAGACCCTAGCTGTCTTCAATTCTATGAAGGCTGAGAAAGGTTTTGAAGCTAGCAGAGGTTGGTTCATGAGGTTTAAGGAAAAGGGTCATCTCAATAACATAAAAGTACAAGGTGAAGAGGCAATTGCTGATGTACAACCTGCAGCAAGTTATCCAGAAGATCTAGCTTAAGATAGTTGATGAAAGTGGCTGTACTAAAAAGTAGGTTCTCAATGTAGACAAAAACAGCCTTCTATTAATATTAGAAGAAGATGCCATCTAGGACTTGTAAAGCTAATGAGGAGAAGTTAATGTCTAGGTTTCATGCTTTAAAGGACAGGTTGGTTTTTTTTGTTTTGTTTTGTTTTGTTTTTTATAGGGGCTAATGCAGCTGGTGAACTTTAAGTTGAAACCAATGTTTCATTTACCATTTCTGAAAATCCTAGGGCCTTTAAGAATATTAATATATCTACTTTGCCTATACCCTATAAATGGATCAACAAAGCTTGGATGATGGAACATCTGTTTACAGCATGGTTTACTGAGTATTTTAAGTCTGTTATCAAGACCTACTGCTAAGAAATAAGATTTTTAAAAAAATAATATTATTGCTCAATGACAATGTACCTGGTCTTGTAAGGGATCTGATAAAGATGTACAAGGAGATCAACATTGTTTTTATGCCTGCTGACACAATATCCATTGTGCAGCCATTGGATCAAGGAGTAATTTCAACTTTCAAGTTTTATTAGTTAAGAAATCAATTTCCTAAGTCTATAGCTGTCATAGACAGTGATTCTCCTGATGGATCTGGGCAAAGTAAACTGAAAACCTTCTGAAAAGTATTCACTATTCTAGATGCCATTAGGAACATTTTTGATTCCTAAAAAGAGATCAAAATATCAACAGTAACAGGCATTTGGAAGAGGTTAATTCCAACAGTCATGGATGACTTTGAGGTGTTCGAGACTTCAGTGGAGGAAGTAACTGCAGATGAGGTGCAAACAGCAAGAGAACTAGAGTTAGAAGTAGACCCTTCTAATTGCCCTCTAATTAGAAGTGAAGATCTGACTTAATTGATGCAATCTGATGATAAAACTAATGAATATGGAGTTGCTTTTTATGAATGAATAAAGAAAGTAGTTTCTTGAGGTGGAATCTATTCCTGGTGAAGATGCTGTGAACATTTTTGAAATTATAGCAAAGGATTTAGAATATTCTATAAACTTAGTTGGTAAAGCAGCTTGAGAAAATTGACTCCAATTTTGAATGAACTTCTACCGTGGGTAAAATGTTGTCAAATAGCATGGCAAGCTACACAGAAATTTTCATGAAAAGAAGAGTTAACCCATGAGAAAATCTTCACTGATATCTTATTTTAAGAAATTGCCCAAAGCACCCCAACTTTTAGCAGCCACCACCCTGGTCAATCAGCAGGAATTAACATTGAGGCAAGACCGTTCACCAGCAAAAAGATTATGACTCACCGAAGGCTCAGATGATTGCTAGCATTTTTTAACAATAAAGTATTTTTAAAGTAAGCTATGTACATTGTTTTTTAGGCATAATGCTATTTCATACTTAATAGTCTACAATGTGGTATAAACATAACTTTTATAGGACCTGAGAAACCAAAAAGTTTGTGTGGCTCACTTTATTGTATATTTTCTTTATTGCAATATTAGCTTTCTTGTGGTGGTCTGGAATTGAATTCACAATATCTTTAAGGTTTGCCTGTATTTGGTTTAGTGCACAACAAATTTGCCATCTCTTGGTTTAAAACATCACAGTCTACTGCTGGAGTTACTTGTGATAATGTTTGAGGTATGAAAAATAATACACAGCTCTGAAGAGAAATAAAAATGAAAATAAAAATAATATTAAAGTCTACTCATTTTAGTAAATCAGGCAATACCTGGTATATTCATTGTCTATATAGTAACTGGAAGTCACATTCAGCAGCAGTTCAACTAAGTAGTACTATTAGACACATTCCATTTTTATAAGAGATATCTATTCTGATAATAAATTATTTTAATATGTCCCTACTAGTGTATACCATATTTGTGTGTTATGACACACTATCTAATAATAATACAACTAATAATAGTTATATCATTATTAACAACTTATCACTCTTAGTTTGACAAAGATTGTTCTGTCAGGGACAGATGGACACCATTATTCAGCTATCCAATTGCTCTTTTTTGTGCCATGTCTAAGAAATGTAGCATCCTGTAGAGGACTGGGTATTTCTAGTACAGCCAGATATGATTTAACTGCCTTCTAGTAATCTGAGCATTGTGTCTCATCAAAAATATTTCAAAAAATGAGCCACCTGTGGATTTTTTAAAGGATGTTTATTTTTTTTTAGAAAAAAGCTAATATATTTCATACAGCTCACATAAACACATCTCAACAGACATATATCAGAATTAGGAAATCAAGGCTATCCCCATAATAGTCTAGATTTGACAAAATCACATGTGAAAAAAAAAGAAAAATCCTTTGTGCTAAGGTCCTGCAAAAGGTAGTTAACCTGTCAGATCAATTTTTTAATATCAAAATTCAAAATAATAAAATAAAAATTTAAAAAGTTAAAGTTAAATAATTAATTAATGTACATGTACAAATTTGCAACAGACTTTCCTATAAGTAAAAAATCAGCAAGGTTTAATTGATTTTCTGTATTGTATACTGAGGAAACAGTATTTTGTACCTCTCGAATAATTCACAAATTTAAATGCTAAGGCATGTATATATATATAATGTATGTATATATTATATATGTGCTTAATTATTCTGATAGCAAAGGTCAAAAGGACAAGGTGGCCATAAATTATAATGGGTTGAAGAATTTGGATAGAACGTGGACCTAAATTACTGTGTTACGTTACCTTGTTGAAATCTTATTGCTAAAATTTTGCACTGCTAGGCAGTAAACTAGGAAAAAAAAAAGAAATTGAGAAAGTGTTAATTTTTAAGCAAGTTTGACAAAGATTGAGTTTCATATGACAAATATTGTCAGCAAGACAGGATTCTGTCAGTGGAAGAAGTTTAAACATTAACAATTTCTGTCAGGCTGTTGACACAATCATGGCAGACATTTCCCAAGATGCCGAGATGACTGCTGGCATTTGTCAACAATCCTGTCATAGTGACAGCAATAAGACCATGTCTGGAAATGTGACAGTTTTGGCTTTGTGCTCCCCTGAGCAATAGCCCAGGTGTTCAGAGAAAGTGTGGGAAAACCCATATTTCTGCATTGTCATTCGAACACAGAAAACACAGGAGGAAAATGAGCTGTCACTCCAATTCCCATGATGCCTTGCTGCTTAGCATAACTCTACAGTGCGGCCCTGGGTCCACTGGTCCATACTCTGACAGATAATTAAGAAAGCAGCAGCTTTTTCTAGACGGCTCTTCCTCATGATTTGCATTTTAGCCAGAGGCGACCAGTTATAAAAAAAACATGATGGAAAGATGGTAAGAAGCCAATTAGATGGATGGATGGCTGACTGACAGCTCTCTGGTATTACGACTCCAGATTTCAGACTACATAGCCTGGCAGTTTTCTACAAGAACCAACTTTTTTGCAGGTTGGTAAAGCTGTTAAATGTGGGACTATATATAGCGCTATATAATTTTTGCAAAGTTGTACATTTTCCTTAAATAAGCATGTATTCTTTTCAATCAGGGTTTGCATTAAACAAGTTTTCACAATTTAATCACAACTTGCATCACTAAATTTAGCAATATTAAAATTCTAGACAACTTGTAGGCACATTAGCTGTGCCAGTAGAGAAGTGATTAAAAAGCTGAGAACCACGTTGAGCCAGCAGAGATAAAGTGAGCTAATAATTAGAATGTCTGTGCAAATATGGCTTTAGAACTTTGAATTTTTCACTGTTTGGTTTTAAGCAACTAAAAGCATAAACTCTAAATTTCCCTTCCATCTTTATATCCCACAAACATATATTTGCTATTAGACTTGTTCAAAGTCTAATATATGCTTTTGTGTTTGTTACTTCAGCTAATTTTGAAATAAAAAAAAAGAAAGAAACTGTTAGTCTCAAGCTTCCAGTTTGGCCGTGATATTTTCTAGCTTCTAGCTAGTAGGAGTCAACTCTTCGTAATATTTTCCAATTTGGAACCTTCACTAATGTTTCCTGTGTGCTGCATTCTGTGTCTGTTATATATATGCACATATATATACCACACACACACATTTTTGAATGCAAATCATTTGCTATTAGAGTTACATGACTTCATCTGTAGTTTTAAATGAGAGATTTTTTTTTTCATTGTAATGACACCTCAGATGTGTTTCAGATCTTGAAATACTATTGATAGGTATTTATTTCACAATTAATTGAGGTACTAAGGAACATTAACCCAAACTAGAATTGTAAGTGTATTTTCTTACTGTGGGTAATAAATCTTCTACAACCTGAAGATGGGCATTAGACCAATGGTGTGTCTAAATGCTATTAGTTGCTTAAAATCCAACAATGTATATTTTGAAGTGCTGTGTATATCACTCAGTCTGCACTGATGTTGAAATCCACAGCACACATAAAACACGACTGAGAATGTTTTATCACATGTGGTAACCCTTTCTTTTTTGTTTTCTTTTTCATCCGCACTGGTATTTGTCATTTTGCTTTTGCTTTGTATCATGTTGTTGGAATAAGATATGCTTACCATACTGATAACAATTCTAAACAATATTCTACCTGCACATAGTTGGAAAATTTAAACAGAAGTTCAAAGGAGAAAAGTTTCATAAACAGTATCCCCAATTAGATGGAGTAATTGCATGTTGGTTTTCTTTAGAAACAGTTAAGAGTTTTTCCTATAGAGATAGCATAATAGGAGTAGAAATAGATATCTTGCTGAAGAGTTTTTATAACTTATTTAAGATGTGTTTCTTGTCAATAATTGATGCCCTCATATCATTAAAATATACCTTAATTATTGAATATTTAAGTTTCCTCCTAATTTGCCATTTTAAAGGGAGAAATGCTAAATATGAATTACCCCAATACAGTGATTCTTCAAGTAAGGAAAGTAAAAAGCTTTGAAACATTTCCTTCTTTGGTGGGATATTTATGTTCAGAGTCTGGCTGAGTCTTTTAACTACCCATGTCCTCACTTTTCACTAGCCACTCATACTTTTTATTGAAATTTATTTCACTTTTGGATTCTCTTACTTATGGCACAATGTTAATGTACTGTATTTTCACAAGGTCTAGAGGAAATTATGGGTCTTTTAAAAAATAATTAGAATTGAAATTTGAGGAACAACATATTATAGACAGATTTTAAAATAATAAATCCCCTTATTTTCAATATTTTTGCTACTAAAGTATGTATTAAGAAATAATTTTTATGTAAGAGAGAAATGTAAAGTGTGATATTTGCTAAAGTAAGTTCTAACAACACAAACTTTGAAAGTAGACCTATTATATCACTGTAGGGTAAAGAGATATATTTCTAAATAAAAATAAATGAGTTAACATCAAAACAAAAAGATATCTCACCACAAAATTCATAGGGTTTTTCCTGGAAAATTTAATAAAATTCACTGGAGTTTTCTGCTGCCATCATTTTAATATTGAGCTATGCAATTTGAGTGGCTAGAATTTGAACTTAAAAAGCAAAGAAAAAGATATAGACAAGTTTCTTAAAAATTATTTTTCTTCTTCTTAAAGACTATGTTGCTAATTGAATATTTGGTTATTGGCAGTTTTAAAATGGAATGCTTTTTGAGATATATTTTGGAAATAATCAGCTTTCTCTTCAGTGCATTTTATACTAACTGAAAAGTAGAGGAAAGAAAAACTTATGTAAAAAAATACTTAACATGTGAGTGTTAAAGTTATTTTCCTGTGTTTTTAAAACACAGTTTATAGAAATATAGCCTCCTTGATTATTTAAGAACAAATTTTTATAATCCTATGCCAAGGTGAATTTTTGTTTAATATTTATAGACACTTTAAATAAAACAACAATTGACCTCAAACATCTTTTAATATCTTTTAAAACATATCATCAAAGTTAGTGTTGTTTAAGGAACATTTAAAAAGCATGTCATTAAGGAATAATGTTGTTTATGTTGAATTGCTATTCAGCACCTCATATAGTTTTGTAACTTCCTAATAGTCAAATGACACTACAAACCACCAGTCACAGCACACTGGTAAAATATTTGCCTTCTTTACTTATTGAATTTAGAGCACTTTCCAGAAGCCAAGAGATTACATAAAATCTGTTTATTTTCCCTGATTTGCAATGGAGTCTGGCAGTTCATTTATATATATTATTTTGCAAGAGAGAGAAAAGATTGTTAAAGAGGCAGAGATGCTGAGAAAAAAAATCAGCAACAACTCTTTGTTATGTTTATAAATTATTCAGAATTCCATTAAAATGAATGGTTTGAATTATATAAGAAAGCCCACTAATACCAAGGCATAGATACAGAACCCAAAACCTTCTTAAAGACTAGAAAGGTGTGTAATTATAATAGTAAAACAAATCTTTCTCTCTCTTCTTACATTCTCATAGTCATTCTCTTAAATTTCTTTTCAAGCACATTGTGGCCTGTCTTGTGTAATAGCTATATGTAAGCTCTTTAAAGGCTGGGGCTGCATCTCTTTTGTGTTTTTATTCCTGCACCAAAAATGCCAACTTATAATAGCAGCTCAATAAATAAGGTTTGAATTTAATGCAGACTTTCACTTGACTTTGCAACCATTAATTCCCAAATCTACAGTAAATGAATGATTTCAATTTGTTAGTTAGTTTCCTGAACCCAAGTTGTGACTGGGGTAGCTAGTTTTGCTATATTTCTCAAGCAGAAACTGAGTAAAGTTACTGCCGTGGTTGCAAGATTGGATGAGCAATGATGGGTAGAGCAGTGTATGCCCTAGTCATCATCATCAATCATCCTGTAATTATAGTCTATCATCTAAGACTGACCACTGATAAGCAACTATGCTGGAGAGAATAATTCCTATATCTAGCACATATTAACCACTCAGTTGGTTAGTTCCAAGACAATAAAAACTGTTCTTTTTCTGTAGATAAATATGGTAGAATATTGACAATTGCTTACTATTTTAACCAATTCTGTTGATTCAACCATTCAAAACATCTTTGAGAGGTAACTATTTTGTTTGTTTGTAGTCTGTTTTGGTTTTAGAGACAGGCTCTCACTCTGATGCCCAGGCTGGAGGGCAGTAGCACAATCATAGCTCAGGGTAGCCTTGAACTCCTAGGCTTGAGCACCCTCTCACTTCAGCCTCCCAAGTAGCTGGAATCATTGGCTTGAGGCCCAGCTGAGAGGTAAATATTTTAATTCTCATTTTGCATATATGACACCCAAGAAATTAAGTAACTCTCCCTAAGTCTAATATCTAATATGTGGCAAAATAAAGTTTGAACTAAGCTCTCTCTGATTTTTAAAACTTCTGCTCCTTTCATTATTCTTTTCTAAAAAAATAATAATTATAAATACTAACATAATGACAGGTTCCAATTTTTAATGCAAGCATTTCTGGAGAAAAAAAAACTTATGCATAAGAAATCAGTAGTGTTTTGTACCTTTGTACTTGAGCACCAACACTACTTATTTTAATGATGTTATTCTCATGTCATTAATATGAAACAATGTTTCTTATAATCTGTAGAGGTTCAATCTACCAGATAGAGAAAAAAAAACTGGACACTAATCCTGTTTTTAAGGCAAATTTAGGGAGGCAGAAGAAACATAAGAGAATAAAATAAAGTCTTTGCCTGTTTGGATCTCAAAATCTATTGGAAAAAGACACAAATAACTCTAATACAATACCTGATACACACATGATGATGTTCTATGGAAATTGAGTTCAGTGATTGCCATGGGAAAATTAGGAGGAAGCTTCATTTGTGTTCAACCTTGTTAAGTAGGTGTGCATTTACATTGACTAGGATAGGAAAAAGAACACTTAAGTGATATAGTATGAGCCTGCATATGTAAGAACAAGGGTGTCAAATTATCACTTGCATTGAGCAGGTAGGGTGAATGCTGTGAGGGAGGCTTGTGGAGGGGTGAGTATGTTGAGAAATAATCTTGGAAAATCAGGCTAGGACAAAATAAAGGAGTCACTTTCTTACCAGACTAAGAAGCTTAGAAATTCTTCTGTAGCTAATGGGAAGTCATCTCTGAGCTTTACTAGAATGTGATTGTATTTGTGAATTAGTATGATAACTCTAACAGGTAAATGGAGGTGGGTCAGAAAGTAAAAAGTTTGGAGACAGAGAGACCAGTGTGGGGCCTGCTTGAGTGACAGGGATGATGAGTAGCTGAGCTAAGACTGTGACAGTGGATTAGAGAGATAAATGTTTCATTACAGCCAGGCCTGGTAGGTAGCATATCAAAAACATCTCACTCCTTTGCAATTTCCTCTAGTTTTTTTAACAATGATAACAGCTTTACTCTCATAAGATTTAGGCCTGAAATCTACTGGTAATTGCCCAATTTGATTGTTAAGCACAGTTCTCTGTCACCAAGGAAGAACTGGAGCAAAAGATGAAAATGTTTAAGTATTTTCTTCTT